AAATTACAATTTTTTATTATTATTTATTATTGTATATATGAATTAAATATTTCTTGTATTTAATAATAAAATTAATAAATATATAGCTAAATGTAACAAAACGCTATTTCACATTATTTACATTACAAAATATGCGAAACAAGTAAAAAAATCAATCTTATGTTACTTATTTTTATAATCAAAAATACTTTAATTAAATCTTACCATCAAACATTTTGCGAAACGCCGGATTCTCAACTGTTCGAAGGGACAGCTGGTTGTCCAGTAAGAAATGAGTTACATTATTTTCAAACTTTTCTTGTGAAAACCTGCATGTAACTCGTCGAATAATTTCGGATTCACTTATTCTTCTTTGTTTCGATAATTTATGAGCATCATATTCCGAAATCTTTTCAGGATGTTTTCTCTATGAAAATTATTATTACAAAATATATAAACATATAGTCATTTTAGAAATTGTATTGTTCTACAAATAAATAAAATTTACCTTTAAATGGCGCACAAAATTTGAAGAAACTTTTAAATCTCCTTGAACAATCGTCGCGCAATTTACGCATTTTGCAGTTATGTGTCCAGTTATGTTTGAGTCTTCTACGACAACGTCAAAAAAACGGCCATCTAAGTAAGAAGTTTTTTGGCATGCATCGATGAGTTCTTTTTCTGCTGCAGATAAACTATTTCTTTGAATTTGCGTAGGATTTTCTGCACCAGTAGAATTTGTGGCACTAAGACCAGAACGCTGAGATAATATTATATTTCCGCTAGAACTTCCAGAATCGTATATTTCTCTAGTAGGTAATCTGCTATCATTATCAATTTGTAAGTGCCTCATGTCAACGGACGTATTGTCTATGGAACCGCTCGACATATCCATTTCAAATTTTGGACTCTTTGTCTTGGAAGGAAGGAAATTATATATTTATCAAATTTGTGTTTTTGTGGTATTTAACTTATTTTATTTTACCTTTTCTGTTGTTTAGCAATCACTTCTTACAAAATGTATCTCCTTTATGGTTTCAACACTTTTTTTGCACTGATTAACACTTTTTTGCACTGATTTATTCTCCAACATAAAGAACAATTAAGTTATTAATAACAGATTTTTAAAAAGTAGCAAAGAAAATGAAAATTTTTTATACAAGAAATAAAAAAAATTTTTAAATGTTAACAAATTATTTAATTTATGTAAGTAGAAATAAATTGAAAAAGTATATACGTTATACGTATATGAAGAAACAATATAGAAAAAGAATTTGAATTCCGATTTGTCACAAGAGACTAATAAAGAAAAGAAATTGAAAAGTTATAAATCAAAATTTATAATTTCCAATATCTATGCGTTATGGTATCTTGTTGAAAATGATGTATAAGTAACAGGCTAGAATCGATGATATCCGAAGCACAGTTCAATACACTGAACCGATATTCGTCACATTCTATAGGAATTCCTTCACATTGTCGTTGTTATGATGTTCTCTGCATATGACATTCAAGCAAGGGCCTCTAGCAAAGCTAGGAAATAAACCTTGCTCTTCTGTTTCCTTCATTCGACAGGTTGAACTCGAAGAAGACTGTTGTCGAAACGTTCAGAAGACAAAAAGTGTTGTACGAAAAGTGAGTATTTAATTTCTTTTTTAAGTGAAACTTCTATGAGCGCGGGGAGTGATTTGGAACGGAAGTGTTGCGGAAGTCGCGTTGCACGTTCGCGTTAAGGAAGTCCGCCACGAAAAGTTAAAACTTCTACGGGAGTGATTCGGTGCGTCGCGTTACGCGTTTGCATTATGGAAGTCCGTCACGAAAAGTCGAAACTTCCATGGGCGTGGGAGCGTTAGGGCCAGCGCACGTACATTGCCGTAGCGTCTTACGCCACTTTACGTAAGAATTGCCTTACGCGACACGTATCAAACGTACGGCAACATACCATACATTACATGCGTTACGTTACGTTTTTCTATGTACGTTGCCGTACGTTTGGCTTACGTGTGGCGTAAGGCGATTCTCACGTAAGGTAGCGTAACGGCAATGTACGTGCGCTGGCCCTTACGGCCGACCGTCAAATCCGAGCGTCACAAAAAAAATGTGTGTGGCCTCCACGCGCAGCAGAAGTAACTTCCTAGCTGTGAGGAATAGGATAGTGTCTCGTTTATGGTATCTGAATCAAAACCTGTGTAATTAACAAATAAAATTTTAACTATAAATTAAAGCCGATGCAATTTACTATCTCGGACTTATCCTATATATATATGTAGGGGACACCAGGATTGCAAATAATTAAATCAATTTCTGATTTAATTTAAAGATAATTCATAAATCAATTTTGAATTATTAATTATTCTAAGCTTTAAATTATAATTAAAATTTGATTTATGAATTACACAGGCTTTAATTCACAAATCAATTTTTATTTGTAAATTGCATCGGCTTTAATTTATAGTAAAAAAAATCGGTTTTAATTTATAGTAAAAAAAAATCGGCTTTAATTTATAGTTAAAATTTTATCTGTTAATTATATACACAGGTTTTAATTCAGATACCATAAACGAGATACTATCCTATTCCTCACAGCTAGGAAGTTTTACTTCTGCCGCGCGTGGAGGCCACACGCATATTTTTTTAACAATATTTTATTATGCTATTGTAAATTAATTATAATTGATTAATTGATTAATTATTTTATTATTTATTATTAATTGCCATCTGAACTGCTTGTTTTAGAAACTCAATTACAAAAAAATGGGAGGAATATTTGGGAGAAGTAAAACCGAAGCAAAAAACGTGAGTAATAACTTTCTTTAATATTATAAATAAATATAACTGGTTTTCACTAAATCAAAAAATAAACGCAAAATAAGAGCCGGCACTGTAAATGTTTTAATAAATTATTTTGTCACAAGTGTGCATTTAGTTATTGACGTGTACAGTCATGTGTTTTTTGTAGTACGAAAACTTTCAAGGCTATCAAGGCCCATTTACCCAATCAATAATTTTATAAGTGAAGAAATGTACTTCAAGTGCTTATTTTTTGTTTTAAAAGTTAAATACATATATGCTAACAACTTTAATAAAACGTATTCACTTTAACATTTATTATTTAAAACCATGAATTTGGATTATATTTTTAGAAGTAAGCTATTTTCGCGATTCTCCACAAAGGAGACAGGAAAACCGAGTCTTGTTTTTGCAGAGAAGTCGACTCCCTCCTTTGTCCTGACTTTTAAACATTATAAACTGTACATAATCTGACTCATAATTTCGCATTTGCTACTCTTACTCACGCCTAATCGTCTTCTTAATTCCACTCGCGCACAATAGAGAATAATTTAAACTATAATTAAAATTGGTAAAACTGAAGGAGAGCTCCCTCCTCACCGATTTTGATGAAATTAGGCTTAATCGATTCGTTTTTGCACAAAACGAATGAATCTGGCAGAAAAAAGCCCCGCTCGGCCCCGCGACGCGAGATATTAACTGTTAAAGTTGACGACTATCAGGTTATGAGACCTGTCATACCGACGCGATGCAGCAACTACGGACATGCTCCGCGACCACATGCGCATGCTCCGTGGTCACATGTGCAGTCGATGTACTTGAGCGCCTAACCTCAATTACATCATATATTGTTGTGTGCAATTCAAAAATATTTACAATGTCCTATTCAATAGAGCAATTAAATAGCAATCCGTGGCTAGCGGTTCAAGATGTTGTTGGCGATGCAAAAACATGGCCCAAATTTATCAGAAAAATGTTTTGGGATAAAAATCTCAAAGATCACAATCGAATGAATGATCCTTGTCAATTTTTCCTACTTGAATGCAGTATCCGAAGATTTTTTGCACGATATATTAGCTTTTACGTTGAAAAATGCGTATACAGCGGAAAGGAAGCGCAATATTAAAGATAGATTTGGTTATTTAAATCACGAGGTAATTGTTTTAATTTCAATTGATAAGTATATATCTAATAAGTATTAATTATGTTTTTTATACTTTTTAGGAATTAGGACATATTCGACGCAGC